TTTCCATTCTCTCCTTCCAATTTTGTTAGTTTTTCTAATTTTTCCAAGGTCTAAAACATTTACACTTGGTTCTAGAATTGTAATGACCATAGTTGCTTATAATTTAGTGTGACATTTGGACAGACTCAATGTTCACCACGGGATTTTATCACTGCTTCTCTATTCCAAAGCTTTTTAAAATTTTGATTCATATATTCAGTTGGATGTGAAGGGGTCAGAGATTTTCTATTTCTTTCTTTTGGTTGTTCAAAGGTGCCAGTCTTAGGACTTTAAATTAAATGCAGCTTGGTTGGGTATAATACTCTTGGCTTATACTTTCTTCCTGTAGAACTTTATAGCCAGTGCTTAATTATCTTTTGGCACTGAGTAGTATTGCGAAGATTTCTGAGGCTAGCCTGATTCTATCTCCACCTTGGAATGACTTGACCTTTAAACATAAAGTTTTAAAATCTTGAAGTTCAAAACCATCACTGGGATATGGATTGGTGTTAAAAGCTCTGTGTCCTATTTTCCTGAAAAACAGTAGTATATTCTTTCAGTACATAAATTCAGTTTTTTTATTTTAGCAAAAATTTATGATATATTTGAATACTTTTTCTATTTCACTCATTAGATTCTTAATTCAGGGATGCCAATAGAGGATCATCTTTATTCTCAATGTCCATTACCATCTCTGAATTTTCTTTAATCTCTTTATCTTTTTCTTCTGCATGCACTGTAATTATCTCATTGTAGCAAAAAACCTTTTTTCTGTTAGTAAGTCTGTGGCTTCAACCCCCCACTTAGCACTACGCACTTCTGTGTGTTTGGGAAGGAGGATGGGAAGAAAAGGGGAGGGTTTATGTGTCCTTAAACTTGCAGACTGATTAGAATTTTCTTCTAATTTTTAAGCTCTTCTGTGTCTCTCATTTCTTATTCATAATGATATTTACTTTAGGGCCTTTTCTCTTTTCTTTATTTCCTTTAGTCTTCCCAGAAGCTATTTCTTCTTTCTGGGACCATTTTCCTTCTCCTTAAACTACATTTTCAGAAGTTCTTTTTTGAGTATCAGATGATAGAAAATGTTCACAACTTATTTGGAATGGTCTTTATTTTAGCATTGTTGTTTCTTCTCTCACAGTGATGACTAAGATCACTTTTGTTCTTCTCCCCCTCTCTTTTGCTTTTTTTTTTTCCACAATGGTATGCATGGCCTTTACTGATTGCAATAGGAAGTGGAAAAGGAGGGGAAATGACAGCTCACGCTTCTGGGAAGGCTTCACAGACTGTGACTACCCTTTGAAAGCCATTCTTCTCTTACTGTGATGGCTAGGATCCTTTGGTAGAACGTAGAATAGGAGTGGTGATAATGGGAACATCAATCAGGGGCCAGTCAGAAGAATAAAAACCATTCTAGATATTTCAACAGAAAAGATTCAATAGAAGAAACTGGTCACCCAGGTGATGGAAGAATAGTTGAACAGCTGTACTTCATATAACAAAAATAAGTACCAGTCATAATACTACTAAAATTTTTATAAAACCAGCCCAGTATAGAGACAAATATTAGAATGGTGGGGAACGTTAGGGAGCTCTTTCAGCCCTGGGACTAGAAAAAAGAGAGAGCTGGCATTCACAGAGCTTGGGAGATGGGGATAGCTGGGAGGACAGGGAACCAGGGTAGTAACCAGGAATTGGGACAATGGAGAACTCGGGAAATGGTAGAGATCACAGACAGGGAGGGAAACACTCTAATTATACCTTTTGGCTTCCCTTCAGTCTTTCACCACCAATTCTCATTGTCTAAGCCTATCTAATGCCTGAGGGTTAGGTGCCTGGGTCCCAGAGTCCCTATTTTACAATGAAACAATAGTTTTCCATGTGTAAAAGCCTAAGAAAAGCAATCATTCAGAACTTTAAAGACATTACCATTTTTTGGGTCTCTTTCTTTTAGAACTTTTACACAATTATCATGTCTCCTGAAGCTAAATTCCCATTTTTTAACTTATCATGGATATTTTTTCTTTATACTTTAAATATCAATTCAGAGATTTCCCAGACTGTATCTTTGAGATTACTACTATAGTTATAGCTATTCTAAAATTTATTTTTTTCATAATTGCTTATTTTGTAAAAAATCATGTTTACTAAGGTATAATGTACTCGTTTTAGGTATACAGTTCATGAGTTTTGGAAAATGTATACAATCAAAATGCTTCTTAGGTGAACTCATGTTGCAGCTTGTGGTCGTAGCTTGTTCCTTTTTACTGGTGAGTCGTATTCCATTCTATGGATATACCACCATTTGTTGACTCATTCACCTGTTGCTGGACATCTGGATTATTTTCAGTTTTCAGACTGTGATAAAGATGCTGTGAACACTCATGCCTTTGTGTGGACAAATGTTTTCATTATCTTGGGTAAATACCTAGAAGCAGAATAGCTAGCCATAAAAGTGAATGACAAACTTTATAACAAACTACCTAAATGTTTTCTGAAGTGGTTGTGCCATTTTCTGTTCCCACTAGCAATGCATATCAGTTCTAGTTGCTCTAAGATCCTAAGACTTGGCATTATTTGTTTTTAATCTCAGTCACTCTATTGGTATGTAGTGTTATCTAATTACTGTTTTAATTTGCAATTTGCTGATTTATAGTGATGATGAGTATCTTTCAAGGTACACAGAACTGATATTGCTACTCAATTAAATTCTGTGACAATGTACTTGACTACTCATTGCACGCTAAGCATATGCTGCAGGAAAATCTCAGTTCAAGCCTTGGTTCTCTTTGAATTGTGAGCACTGTCCTGACTCCCATTATTCAGATAATATTTCCCACTGAAAATGACATTATTAAGCGTGGTAGTCAGTACAACTCCTCCCCTCAAGATGTCCACGTCTGAGTCCCCAGAAACTATGGACGTGTAAGGTTATACAGCAAATGAGGAATTGAGGTTGCTCATTGGCTAATCTTATCATGCGGAGAGTATCCTGGATTACCCGGGTGGGCTCAATTTTTACAAGGATCTTTAAAAGTGGAAGAGGGGACACAAGAGGAAGTCGGAGGGATACAACATGAGAAGGACTCAGCCCGATGTTGCTGGCTTCGTAGGTGGAGGAACGGGGTTGTGCGCCAAGGAAAGTGAGCAGGCTCTAGAAGCTGGAAAACATGGGGAAACAGAGTCTCCCCCAGAGGCTCTAGAAAGGAATGCAGTCCACATGACACCTTGATTTTAACCCAGTGAGACTCACTTCAGTTGTCAGACTTTCGGAGCTGTGAGATAATATTAGTGTTGTTTTCAGCCCCTAGGTTTGTGGCAATTTGTTCCAATAACAATAAAAAATTAACACATTAGGGGCATCATTTGCTGTGAGCATTACTACCAAATGAACAATCAGATGACAAACCACCTAGGGTTTTGTCCCAACCCTTTATACCTGTTCCCACAGTCCTTTGGCCACTTCATTAACTCCACCGCTAAGATACGGGCTGAGACTCTAAATTTCATGTTGTGCTAGCAGTGCTCCAGGAGGATGGCTTGATGCCCAGGCTAAGACTGACCAGGCATCAGGAGTGGTTTCAGTTACCCAGGCTTCCCCCGACTTTCAGTCCTGACAGTTTCCTGTTCCCCGCTTGCATTCCAGGAAAGAACAGAAACAAGATAGCAGGTGCACTGAGGTCTGTGACCACACACGCTACTGGTATCTGACTTTTTAAAAAAATTTTGCTTATGGTAAATTAGTTTAGTTTTGACTAAGTAGAAAGCATTTGGGGGAGGATTAATGCAAGTCTTTCACCGTGGGAATACAGTGCACACCGGGGGACTATACTTAGTCGGTGTACCAGTTTGTTAGGGCTGCCAAAACAAAGTGCCACTGGGTGGCTTAAACAATAGGAAGTTATTTTCTCACAGTTCTGGAGGTAAAGTCCAAGATCAAGGTGTCATCAAATTTGGCTTCTTTTGAAGCCTCTCTCCTTGGCTTGTAGATGGTCATCTTCCTCTTACGTCTTCACAGGGCCTTCCCTCGGTCTATGTGTTCTCTATGTCCTGATTTCCTCTTCTTGTAAGGACACCAATCACATTGGCTGAGAGCCCATCTGTATGACCTCATTTTACCTTAATTATCTTATTGTTTTAAAGGCGCTATGTTCAAATACAGTAATAATCTTAAACTCTAGGGTATAGAATCTCAACATATGAATTTTGGCGGGACACAATTCCGTCCTTATCAGAGAACACAAAAAGCTATTAAATAAAACTGTAGAAAATGTTCAGGAAAGCAAAACTGGAAGTATTTAACTTCATATTCAATATTTGTGCATAAGAAAAAAGTTAAATGGAGTTCAAATAATGATAGTTCTTCAGTAAAGATCCATCTGTTCAGATTTTTATAATTAGTAATATAAGGAAACAAGCAAACTGGAATTTACATTAAGCTCTAACAATTATAAAATGAAGTAAGCACTGGTATGAAAATAGTAAACACCATGCTTTAAAATGCATCAATATTTACAAATGTTTGTAGTAACAATCATAGTAATATAAATGGTAAGCTATTAAAATAATTACCTACAAATTATTTCTTGAGGTCAAGGACAATTATAGAAAGACATACTAATCAACCTGGCTGAAACTGGAAGAGGTAATGTGAAGCTCAAAAGCACTTCTGGAGAAAAATGTGTAAATTCACAGTTTGCCGTAATAATAAAAGGATGAGAAATCTTGTAGCAACAATCCTTTAAAGATGGATATTTTCATAATTAGACTAAGAGCAATTTGAACTAATAGCATGAGGAAGAAGCAGAAACACATTTTTAAACTATGGAATGAATTTAGTAGTTTCTTAGTAAACCCCCAGTTGGAATAGATGGGCAGACGCTCCTCCCCCTGTTGCTCTGTCCCCACCGGCAAAAGACCAACCCAAACACACAAAAACTAGGAATCTCTAAGCATCTGCAGTATCCACAGAAAAGAAATCAGGAGAGAAGGGCAAGAAACACAGTTCAATACCCAATAAATTGTTTCATCCCTTGAAGATACTTTAATTTTACAGTTACTGATTAATTAAAAAACACAGCTGTTTTCAGCATTTCCTAGCTACAGTAGTGCATAGGAAATTCCATTCTAAACAAAGAAGTAATTAGTGAAATAACAATACACCTTAACATTTTACATTGATAGGTTACAGGTTACAAGGTGCTTTCACATACATTATTTCATTTGATTCTTATAACGAGCAGAAAAAACAATCAGTGGGAAAGAAAAATGATTATTTTTCAAGCTTACAATGAGTATTTTCAGGCCAATGGGCAGTCAGTACAAGAACATATCAAAAACATGAGAGCAACACCCACAAGCCACAATATCTTTTTTTGGTAGGTTGACAGTTTGATATTAACTGGATATTGAGCATCAGTGAAAGAGGAGGGAATCTAAACAGACATGAGCTTTTCATGATATTCAAAGAATTTTATGAACACTGGAAGAAAGAGAGATGCCCTAAAAGATCATCTTAACAAGATTTACTTCAAACATGTTATCCCTTCAGAATGGTATAAAAAGAATCTTATCACATGTGAACATTAGAAGGGACTTTAGAAACTGCCTGATGGAACTTTTCCATGTTACAGCCGAGAGGCCTGCAGCCGAGGTCCTGCAGGTAGTGACAGGCCGGCCTGAAACTCCGATGTCTGGACTTTCAGTCTAGGGCTCTTTCCTCCACACTGCCATCTTCTTATTTACCAAATAAAAACATCATTTCTTCTGTTTCAAATAATGTAATTGGAGGTTAAATACTGATTCATGCCACTTATTTTCTATTTAAGTTTTTATATTGTTCTTGGCTAAATTGTGGCAGAAACTGAAAACTTTGTACAATTTTAAGATATTCTAATTCAGTGTACTTGATTGGCTGAAAATAGATTCCCTGGATATATTTAAAAGCTTGCTCATGTCCTTTAAATACAGAGTAAAATGCAATGGCTAAATAGCCCTCAAAACCAATGTATTGTGTAGGCGTCATCTACCCAGATAGATTCTACAGCAAGTTGTGCTGCACAGTAGCAATTTCATTAAAAAAAATATTTTTAGAATTCATAGAAATCTTTTTAATTACCAAAAACTAAAATGTAATAATCAAATTGTCATCCCCATGATTTATTAAAATAATTTTACAATAATATACAACAAAGCTCCCATAGAATTTGTAGCATACATATAGAATACAATGATCAGCGTGTTCTTGGGTCTAAATGAAATACAAAAAAACTAATTAAAATATTTTATACAAATGATATTTTGTAAGTTTATGAACATGATGATATATTTTTGTTACATCAAAACTTGCTATAGCAAAGTAGTTCATTTTTTTTGCACATTTTAAATATAGGTGGACCAAAAGCTGAAATCAATACCAGCTTGTAAATGACATAACCATGCAGAAACACTTGACAACCAAAAGATGTACCAATCGATCCAGAGAACGTCTGACAGGCTGTTTCAGTGTCTTCAAAGGGTTCACAAGGGTGCAGTGGAGACAAAAAGAAGAGCGTCAGTGCCCTGCCCGCACCGATAATGAAGCAGATGAAATACTTGTACACATTAAGATCAGTATGATTAAAAACTACATCCTATGTGCATGTAAATTGATCATAAAAAATGAGCCAGTTTATTTTCAACTATTTTGGTGTGTTCTTTTAAGATAGGTCACTGACTCACAGAGAGAAAACCAGATGGGAAGATTTAAAAGCAAAGATAAAAATATTTCAAAAAACCAAGTTAAGCCATGAATTCTCAACAAAAACTAAACTAAATGTGCAAAAGTGCTTGAAATTTCCACATGACCAGAACATTATTAAGTCAGTTGGCAAAAGAACATATAAAAAATTAAACTCCAATGATCACACATTCTGTTTACTGAGAGAAGAGAGGCTGGAAATTATTACATATCTGGAAATATCACACCTCAAATGAAAATGCAGTTGTGGCAGTTGTATAAAGTTTGCCCCTTTCCTCACTGACGAGGCACAGGATAGAAGCCAAGGTCGCCTCCACTCAGGCTGACACACAGTATAGTACACTGGAATAATAATCTGTCCAGAACTTCCTTTGTTCTCAACTGTGACAAAACACAACAGAGCAAAAACAAACGAATACCCTTATTTAAATAAGTGTGTCTATATTGTTCACAAGCATTAAGCCATTTGTTTGGTTTAGCAAAGTATTTGTCCACATTTAGTTTCTTTCCCTTTAAAAAGTTTACAATGAGGACTTATTTGAGAAACTTAAAATTTTGTCACTTCATTAGTCATGTTTTATTAAAATACTGGCTAAAACCCTTATGGAAGAGTCAAGATTTAGGAATCTGAGAACTCTTCTCTAATACCTACAGAAATATGGACACCAAGGGACAGAGTCTAGGTGATCACAACCCATATCATTAGTTTTTCCTGTAAATGAGATGCCCTTGTCGCAATGCACAGGCGGGTCACTTAATTATTTGAGGGGAGGAGGATATAAAAAGAGGTGAGGGAAATAGAATCTTTGATCTACAGGAACCTATGTTGTTGTCTCTAGCTACTTTATATTAGTCCACCCAAATTTACTGCCAGAACAGTGAGTTTTGAGAAAGTTATTTTTTAAATTTGTATATATTTCCTTGACAATAAAACATTCTATCTTCAAAAACTGTCAAAGAGTTCTGGCAAAACTGAGTCTGAACTACTCAAAGTAAGAATAATTATTAGAAATTCTACCTTTGAGCCACAGACCAACACAAATATTGGCAAGAACTACTAGAAGGAACACTTTCCTTCCCTTCAAATATCACATAGCCATAACACTGCCCTTTTCAAACACCAACAAAATAAAATGGAGCACTGTTTGGAGAAAGACTAATGAATGAAAAAGGAAGAAAAAGGATGCAGGTGGAGAGGAGAAAGGCGAACCAAAGAGAAGCAGGAGAGTGCCTAGTTCTGTGTGATGGCACAGACAATGCTCGCTTAGCGGTGTCTTGTGACACAGGTGGACGCAGAGTGCACACAGATGATGGCAATCAAGACCTCACTCAGTCGCTGTGATGAAGGAACTAGGTAACTGCTTCAACAAGGACCGTCTCAGCTCCACCCTCTCTCTCAACAGAGTGCAAAGACTGAGCGTGAGTTCTGATGTCATCTTGTTGTTCATATTTAAAATTCACAAAATTCTTTTGCACATTTTTCTGTTATAGAGACACGGATATCTTCTTCTTCATAGTCATCAAAGTTGCTGGTATCTCCAGAACCTCTGAACTTTGGTATGAATGGAGCTTCAACCTATAATTGAGACAGAGGGAAAACTAAGTGTGAGATTGTGATTTATAGTAAGAAATATATTTGGTCTTCAGCCTGATTTTGTAGCACAGAGTTCCTAAAACCCTTGGAATTTCCTGAATACAGAGAGTGGTAAAGATGCCTTTTGTTATGTTAATGAGGCAACTTTTGGAAAGTCCCTGGGTAACCTAAGGGTGGGGGCTGGTTGCCAGGGAAACCAGCTAAGTGATTAGAGGACTGGAACCTTCAGACCCCTGGGAGGCAGAGAGGCTGAAGATTGAGTTTGGTCACCCAAGTCAGTGATTTAATCAATCATGCCTATGGAATGAAGCTTGCCTAAAACCCCCAGAGGATGGGGCTGGAGAGCTTCTGGGTTGTTGAGCAGGTGGGGGGTACGGGGAGGGTGCCATGCTCTGGGAGAGCAGGAAGCTCTTCACCCTTTCCACATTCCTTGCCTTATTTATCTTTTCCACCTGGCTGTTTCTAGTTATATCCTTTTACCATAAACTGGTAATGTAGTAAGAAAGGTTTCTCAGTTCCGTGAGCCGCTCTAGCAAATTAATCGAACCCCAAGAGGGGTTCGTGAGAACCTGCAATCTACAGGTAGTTATTCAGAAGCAATGGTGATGAACTGGACTTGAGACTGGTGTCTGTAGTGACTGGGGGAGGAGGGAGCTTTGCAGTGCTGAGCTCTTGCCCTGTGGGATCTGTGCTATCTATCTCCAGGCTGACCATAAGAATTGAGTTAATTGCTTGGTGGTATATAAAAAAAAAACCATACATGTTAGAATAAGAGGAAAAACAAATGACTGAGGGTTTTTAAACACTAAGGAAAATAAATTCCCACTTAAGACACAATGGTGTCTTTAAATGCCTGTAAGTCCGTAAGTGGTAACAGCACTAGAAAAAAGCAGCAAAAAGTAGGTTTGCTCTTAATCTCGACATTTTCATTCAATGAATAGGACAGGCCAACAGAATACTTTTAGAGATTTATAAGATAATTAACTGTTGGCATCAAATGCTCGCACTGAATGTTATAGGGCTCCAGTTTTTCTTTTATCAGTTCCTTATTTCTAAAGCCTTTATTTTCCCATCCTCTTTCCCTTAATTTCTTTCTCCTGCGGTTACAGATTAACTCTTAGACTTACTTTTAATCTCCTTCCTTTTTAAGTTCCCAAGTTTATTTTGTTTAAAATATCTAGCTATCAAACCTTTCTGGAAGTTGGAAAAAAACCCAAATTTCTGTTAAATTTATAGAATTGTTAAATTCTGATCATTTCTCTCCTTGGATCCTAAAACTAAAATCTTTCCATTATTTAAAATACGGTCTTTATAAAATTTATGTGGTATATTTAATATGTTTGAGGAAAAGACTTTAAATATTGAAAATATAATACACCTTACACAGTATTTATAGTGTTTACAAATAATCATATGTATGGCTATTTCATTTCTTCCTCAATACAACACTGTGAGAGAGGCAGGTATCTTCTTGCCATTTTACAGATTATAAAACAAAAAGTTGACTAAATTAACATGACTAACAAATGGCTAACGTAGGTCTCAAATTCATGATTCTCTACTAGTGGCCGGAGTCCTTTCTAATATCTATATACGTGGTCTCCAAAGTATTTTGATTTATATGACTTTTAATAAAACACCAAGTATATGCCACCAATATATGTCTAGTATTTATTTATAAATCATTTATATGCATGACTATAATAAGACACATAAAACAAGATATTTAAAAAGAATAAGGTAAAAAACAAGTAGGACTGCAGAGCCTGATAGCATCTTAGTGTTTGTCAGCTGGGTGGCTTGCACATGCTGCTTTGGTGAAGGGACTGCTGTTCGCACCATGCATAAGAATGAGCTAAGGAGACAGTCGCCTCACATCTAGTCATGAGGCAATGTAGCACTGTGCCTATTGGTACAATCATTTGTAGAAAATGATTGCACGATCTGAGTTTCCTGCCTACTTTCCTGTTTCCTGTCTTTCTGCATAGTTACAGTTGAGGCAATATTAAAATAAACGGCTATGCTGAGTACTGAATCATTTCTATTTGTAAATTATCCTGGGATGCCCAAGTCCACTTCTACTGATAATCAAGATTTGCTGCTGATCAATTTGCCCAGTACTATAACCTGTTTGTTATAGTATGCTACTTTTTGGCAGATAAGCTCTTTACTACCTGGGACAAGTCAAGTCCTTTGGAAAACATATGAACTCTAAATGAATGGTTGTATACCATTTTAAGAATAATTGTTAAAAATACAATAATGATGGGCATTGTTTAGTAAATTTTTTGCCATATGAATAGATTCAAAATATGCTATAAATCTTTAAAATACTAATAAAATGGACAAATCTTAAGCAAATCTGATAAGTACTTCTATATGCAGCATTAACAATAAATATAACAATAAAGATAATGTCAACAGTGATAATTACAAAGGGATATGATTAATTTTATAGAAAGATATACATTTCTAAAACTGACTCAAGAAGAGGCAGAAACTCAAAGAGACCAATATCCAAAGAATTAGTTTGTAAAAACTCCTGAGGAATAAATACAAGATGATTCCTATGTTCCTTAAATTTCCTAAAGAATAAAAAACATGGAAAATTTCCAAACTCATTTTATGAATCCACATATTCTCAACTCCAGAAAAACAAAATCTAGAGGTCAGTAAAACTGATGATGATGGAAATAAAAATCCTAAATTAAATTTTAGTAAATCGATTACAGGCAGACTTTAAAATAATACCCCAGGATTAAATGAAGTTCACTGCAGGAATGTGAAACTATCTCACCAACAGTAATATGTCAAAGATAAAATACAGCAGACTGGGTAGCAATCAAGGGTATTTCTCAATCAGGAAGACTTATACAAGACCAAGAGCTAACTTTGTATTTGATGGTAAAATAGGAAAAGGATTCATAGTGCAAAGAAGAATAAAATAAGAAGCTCAACATCACTATTGTCTTAAAATATTATTCTATACTTTAGCATGTAAAATAAAACAAAATGGAAATACAAATGTAAATATTGAAAAAGAAGAATCAAATGATACCTCCACCCCCTGTGATTATCTGTCAATAGAGTTCAAGGGAATCACTGAAAAAGCTACGGAAATCAGTAACAGAGCTTAGTAAGGGGACAGTAACAAGGAAAACATGGAAATGTCTTTTACCCCCTTTGTTCTATCATAATGAGAAAGAAACCATTCAGGAGAGCAGCCAATAAAAATTTAAGGAATAACTTTAAGAAAGAAATTGGACTTGAATGGGAAAGGGGTCTCTAAAACTTTACTAAATAAAAGAAAATATTTGAATAAAAGCAGAAACATAATGTATTCAGTATAAAGAACTCTCAAGATTTTGGTTCTCTTCTAATGAATATACTGTGATCCCAATTAAGAGTCCCAAATATCATATACATGTTTGGAAAGATTAACAGAACAGAGGAGCTCGTGTTTCACGGGTACAGTTTCAGTTTCACGAGATGAAGGACTCTGGAGATGGATGGTGATGATGGCTGGTGCAACGACATGAGTGTACTTAGTACTACTGACCTGTACACTTGCAAATGGTTAAAACAGTCAATTTTATGTTGTGTGCATGGTGCCATAATAAAAAGGCTGGAAAAATATGGAATTATGAATTCTTTTCCATGGCCCAAGGGTTAGGGACCCCTGGTGTATGGCACAAGAACAGATAAAAAGAAAAGTTCTGAAACAGACTGAAGTATATAATGATTTTCTATTAGTAAACATGGAAGTTCAAATATGGGGTCATATAAGGATTATTCAACAAATGCTGAGAGGATAACTGGCTAATTATTAAAGAGTGACAAAAAAGATAGGTCAAAAGCACTAAAGGAAAATATAGATGACATAAGTCACCCAAATAGCATCGTGATATTAACAATCGGAAGGCGAGGGGAAGGTGAGGGGAAAGTATGGGAGGAAGTGAATCTGAGGTGGTTACTGAGGTCACGTAGTGACACAGAGCACAGAGGTGCTGTCTGGATGGAGGGATTATGAGTTTCAAATTCATTTTCTTAACAAATTATCTGATTATAACTATATGAAACATACCTCACCCAGAAAGAAAAATAGAGCCTGGACTCATCCATCCAGTCTTTCTCCCCAGACTACTCTTCCTTTTGCATTCTCTACCTCAATCCAAATTTTCAGGATAAGAGAATGGATGCTTTCAAGAGTGTAAACATTTGCTCAAGATCACATCGCTAGTGGCCGGTTGATTTAAGATTCGGACTGATGTCTACCTAACTGCAGGGTTCATGGTTTTTCTTTGCTGCCTTTGAGGCAGTCTTCCTACTGCCAATATGATGAAAGCATAGCAGTTAAGCAGATGATATGTAAAATCTGTAAAAATCTTGTGAAGAAATGTATTGTTCAGTGGTTTGGGCTTCATTTTAATAGTCACATGATCCTGCAATCAGAAATCTGAAGAACCTGGGATCAAATACAGGTAATGTCTGGCAGCTATCCAATCATGTTTAAAGTAGTTAACCCTTTCTGGGCTGACTTTTTTTTATCAGTGAAATGGGGGGAATGGTAGCACCTGTCCCGCAGGATTACTTCAAAGATTAAAATGAGAACTTAACAGAGAGTTGCTTTTAATAAATTATAAAGTACTTCACTGGTTCTAGGGGGAAAAAGAATATAATATTTTATGCCAACTATACTTTGGAATAAAAATAAGTAAATAAATAAATAAATAGGAAAATCTGAAGTGTTTGTTTCTAAGATCTAAAATCTACTTTAAATTGCCGAGAACCTTGCTCTTAGTGACATAACACGTCTAGTTGACACAAGGATGCTAATGGCTGTTTCATGAATTTAATGGCTGGAGGCTTTCTGAACCCTCCTCAGGGGATACAGAGGTGGTGCCATACTCACATTGTTTTGTTCTTGCTATATTTTTTATTTCTTGCACTTCAGAATTCTTGTAGTGCTTTGATTTCAAAATCTTTTATAAAAGATACAAATAAGAAAAACTGTGCTATTAATACTTAACTAGAGCATTTACATTTTTTGCTAAGGAAATTCACTCATGTGACTGCAAAGCATTATTAAATATGGCAAGTCTGAAGCATGAGAAGTTTTGGTTTTATGGAAAAAATTAAATATGTTGAAGATAAAAACACTTTATTCATACAAATTATCTTTAACTTGATTCAAGAAACAAAAGGAGAAATAAAGGTAATTCAGCAAAGCAAAACCTTTTATTAAATGTCTCAATTTATTGCAAAGGTACTGATAAAAACTGAATAATAACTGATGAATTTAGCAATTAAATGTTATTAAATCTGGCTATGTGCCAATTCTGGGTTACAGACTACATTTGTTTACACATGGTCTTTCTAAGGAGGCTTCACATCAGTTTGGAAATGCAAACCCTTAGGATATTGTCTAATACAAAATATATGCTTTCCCTTTAATTAAGGAGAAAACTCATTGTTAAGTTGTGTGATATAAAGTTCCTTTAAGACTTGAATAGGATTCATGAAAAAGGTAAAAAAAAAAAAATTAAAACCACTGTTAAGTTGAAAATACTTCTAGTATATATAATATAAATGCCAACTTTAAAAAAGCTCTAAAGTTAAAAAGGGAAAGGCTCACCTTCCTCTGGTAAATAGCAATCCAATCGGTTGTGGCAAACCACTTGTGAGTTTTTATATCACTCACACCATTCTTTAGATTTCCAAACCGCTTCGTCAGATCCACCTGCAGCAAGTTCCTGAGAAGGTCCTTCAGATCTGAACTGAAGTGTGATGGGAATCGGACCTGTGCAAACACACCATGTGATAAACCACACATTCCAAGACTCGTGACATTTCTCTTTTGATTTCAGAAAGGTTTGTTTTTTCTAAAGATGATAAGTCATATGTAAACAAAAATATGTAGTGATAACCTTCAAATACTCTTAACTACACATTTCAGTCCCTGCAGAAGTCTTAAGGAGAATAATTGGGTGAATGAGACTATTCTCTTAGGGTCTTGTTTTGGTCAGGAGCCCTCTTTAAGAACAGAGGCCCCTCTCCAGAAAAAGGTGTGTAACATACAAAACTTTTCCGGCAATGTCAGAAGGTTCACCCATCTTTAAGAGAGACCCCTTGGGTCCCACGTTACAAATTTCTGTCTTAGAGACATACAAATTTAAACTTGTAATGTCAATAGAAAACACAGAATGTAAAGACATCAGTATGCACATTTTGAAAAGGGAAGTCTACAAATGATTGTAAAACCCACGCTGCCTTTCACAGCATTGGAAACCATTTTTCATGTATTTGTTGGTGACTTTTAAGCATAATTTTTTCTATTATGCAAAAGTATAAAAATGATTTAGATTGGTTTAAAAGCATTTTCTATTTCCTAAGTTATGAAGACTTTATAGTTAATTGATTGGCCTTGGGCCTTAAAACAAAACAAATAAAACCTCCCAAAATAACTGAAGATGTTATTATGTATTAAGCAATCAGTAAAATACAGTATTAGGCACAGAAGACCTAGGGCTATTTTTTGTTTTGTTTTAATAGGTTCTTCTCCTCTAACTCTCTACTCCAACATAATTCCCAGTTCTCATCTTTTTATTAACATGGGTACTGAAAAGTTAAAATGGGTACTACCATCATTCCACTCTCCTTTCCAACTTGTTGCCCTCTTCCCCATGACACATGAAGGTATGTACGTGCATATATCTTTGTATGTACATGTGTGCTCACATGCACCTTTATTCTCATCCCCTTTTCCTATTACTTACTGCTTGGACCTATTTCATATTTCCACCCCCACTAAACACAAACACTATTCTCTGGACTATCATTGCATTGACTTCAAACTGGCCACACGACTCTGTAGACAATTCTTTAAAGGGTTAACAGATTCATTTCTGAACTCCTCACACTTTTATGTTGGTTCCCTACAAGTACCACCATCATTGTGTAACTTGCAAAGTGACGCATTACGTCACCTCGGCTGATTTCCACAATGCATTCATTCATTTAACTATGCTGTGACATTCGTGCATGTCTGTTTCCCTAGACTATGAGCTTCTGGAGGGAAGGAACTGTGCCATTTTTGTGTTTTTATTCCCAGAATTCATTAGATCATTTCAAATAATGCAGTTCATCGATTCTACAATTACTTACTTAGTATCTACTATGTACCAGGCACTGTTCTAGCTGCTGGATATACAACAGTGAGCAAAAACAAAGCCTCTGACTTCATGGAGCTTATATCCTAGGTAGACATGACATAGTCAGTGGATTTTGTATTAACTCTAAAGATGGAGAAACTAAGATTCAGAGACATTATATAGCTTACCAAATCATTAGAGTATAAAAGTGGCAGAGCTGGGATTAGATAGCAAGTCTTATGATTCCTAGCCTCATAAAGTTTGTTCTTTATTATACTGTCTTCAAACATATAGAACTCTGATTTTCAAAAAGCCCAACATACTTGTATATTCTCATGTTCTCAAAGTAGAAGTCAAGAGCATGTAAAGCTAGATTCTATGGCAATGCTAGAGTCATAACCATAGTCCTCTGACTGCTACTCTCATGCTACTCTGCAGATACATGTTTCTCAAAGTGTGGTCCTAGGACCCACTTCCATTAAAACCAATTGGGAGCCTTGGCTTGTGTAGCTCAGTGGATTGAGCGTGGGCTGCAAACCAAAGAGTCGCCGGTTCGATTACCAGTCAAGGCACATGCCTGGGTTGCAGGCCCGGTCCCCAGTGGGGGCACGTGAGAGGCAACCACATACTAATGTTTCTCTCTCTCTCTTTCTCCCTCCCTCCCCCTCACTCTAAAAATAAATAAATAAAATCTTAAAAAAATAAATAAAAATAAAATCAACTGGGAGAGTAGAGGATAAAAATGCAGATTCCTGGGACTTACTTTAGGTAATAGGGCTTTGGGACTGAAAATCTGAGTTTCTATCTCCAAGTGATTCACATGTACGTACATGAAAGCTTGAGAAGCACTATTTGCAACTCTATTTACTTCAGGCAGAAATTTTGTCTTTCTGCTAGTGATAGGTAAAAAATTTAATGTAAATAATAAACTAAAATTACCATACCAGAGGAAAACTAAGAAGTATTTGTGTCAAGCTACCAAAGACTATTTGAAGGTTAAATAGTTAGTGTATGACCAGGATTTGTGTGTCAATTCATATAAATTAGCAACTGAAAGCTTCATTTTTGAAAAGTCTGTATTATCACAGACTATAAGAGGTTTTTTGTTCCCAAAGGACACAATGGCTTATTAGAAGTTAGGCATGTGTTAAACAGTTTATATTCACTGGCTCATAAAATCCAAAACATAACACTGAGGTAAGTACTATTATTACTCCCATTTTAAAGGTGATTACAAGTAATTTGCCCAATACTACAGAGCTAATAATTGGTAAACCTATAATTTCACACCAGGTACTCTGAGTCCAGCATGTAAACTTTTAATTAGTCTATACTATTTCAACATTCAATATATACTATATTTCCAACATTCAATAACCTGACAATAACTATTATAAGAGGCTGAAATTTTAATCTTAAAAATATTTGCTATACATTTCTTCATTTATCCTAGTTCGAATAAAAACTAGAGTGTATGGGGTATTCACTGTCTAATTGAAAAATAACACAATTTATCTCTAGACAGTGGTTATATTCTTTGTTAAATTCCAAAGAAATAACTTATTTGAAGTAGATCTCTCTTTGTTTAGAATAGCTCTCGTGAATTGGTCAGTGCAATGTGTTAGTTATTCTCTCCTTCATGGTGTTCAGAATAATGGACAGTAATGAACTGCATATAAACTATCTTCTGAGTTCAGGTAATGTGCACTGCAATGCATGAAGAACATACACACCTAAATAAAGGTGTTCTTTTGGAATGCAGATAAACTGATGGTCGTGAATTAGTTAATGTGTATCTGTTTAATCTTCAGAACAGTGACTTTCAGATGGGGAGGGGTACTGGGAGAAGGTGATGGTAGACAGCAGAATCATTTAGGGACCTTTTCAAATTGTAGTCACATCCTCCTCACCTCCATCCACATCACACCCTCTTCTTCCCCAGTGATTTGGATAGGTAGCCCACTCTCATAGTAATCCATGTTAATGAAGGGAATCTGTCATAGCCTTAAAGTATACTGAGGGAGAAATAATGAGAATCATTGTGAAAGACCTTTTCCCATGATTGTTCTGAAATGTAATCAGACACCCAGTTCCTTTGTTGACTGAACTTTCTGTAGAGCCATGCTGATTCATCAAACTGAAATTAGGGGAAAAAACCCCCAAACTCCAAAACAAAAAGCAAAACAGAAAACAGCTTACAATTATGTTTTAATTGCAAGACCTTTATTTTTAGTACAGGGTGGGACAAAAGTAGGTTTACAGTTTGTATGGAAAATATAATAATTAATAAATAATACTACAAGGATAAACTGTTTTTTGTACTCACAACTGTAAACCTACCTTGGCCACACCCTGTGTATTAATCTGGGAACACCAAAGATTTTTATAAGGGAAAGAATGACTGATTTTTCCTTCAAAACGGTATCAAAGATGGTATTATTTCTGTTACCATTATCAATTATAACTTCTTCAGAAACTGAAACCAAAATTGTGGAATATGGAAGCTAGAGAAAGCTTAGTTTAATTTAGTCTAAACCTTCATTTTAAAGATAAGGAACCTGAAAGCCAGTTAAGCTACCATCTCAGTCAGTTTCATTGTTGGGAAAGTAACTTAAATCTAATGCTTGCATTTTTCTGCCAGTTCACACTAGGGCAAATAGTATGCAGGTAGCTGTAAAGAGCCAGATGTGGACAAGAGACAGTCCAGACCCATTCAACCATCAAATCTAAGAGATAAGTTGATTAGAAACTGGAATTATTTAACATGAAAGAGGTGTTTGTGCAGTACACACTTCCTGGAGTGTTTATTTGATCCTTTTTCCTTAATATTTCCTATTTAGGGTTTTCCCCCCAGACTTTAGACACCAAGTTACTTCTGAGTCTCCTCATGGTATATTCTTGAGAATAAATCTATTTCTACAGTGAGGTATAGACAAACAAAACACATGGTAGGTATTAAAACTGTCTATGATCATTTAGAAAATACAGATGTTTGTAACACACATAAGACCAAATGAATCAGTATCCCTGACTGTGAGCATTGCTGCTCATGAAAGCTTCATGAAGGCAGACAGACCACACTGATCTGCCATATTCAGCAGGGGCATGGCATATTTTATGAGCTCAAGAAATATTTAATGAATACATATATTCAAATCTGACAAATCCTGAATGGGCATCTTCAGTGTACCAGGCACTGATGTGCTTTGTATGTAGTGGTACACAAAATAAGACAAAGATTCCTGTCTTCACAGGGTGTATGTCCTAGTGAGGATGACAGATGATAACTTGGTGATAAGAGTGATACTTTACCAACTGTCCCCCCAGACTCCTCAGAAACCTTGCATTGTAAGGTCTTTATTTTGTACTCTGAAGAGAATGGAGAACCACTGCAAGGTTCTAAAGGAGTAGCAGGATCTGATTTAACATTTTAAAGACCTACTCTAGTGACTCAGAAGACAGCGGTACCAGTGGAGGGGGTAGGAAGTGGTTGAATTCTGCACATCTTCTAAAGATAGAGCCAAAATGGTTTTCCTGTGTATCAGTGAGGACTCCAGGGTATTTGGCCTGAGTAACCGAAGGGATGGGGTTATCATCAACTAAAATGGGAAAGCTGGTGGAGGAATGCATTTGCTAGGGAAAACAAAAA